GGGCGCGGGGACCTTTGAACGACTTCGTGTTGGGCGGGGATTTCGTATCGCCCGATGCGAGGATGTGAGACGTGTTCTCAGTTTGCGGCGTTTGGCGCGAACACGGTTGTCAGAGTCGTGAGCCCTCTTTTCGGCGGCGCCGAGGAGTGGGATGTTTTTGGGGGCACCGTTTTTCGTTTTGATGGTCGTTGTGGAACTGTGAGGCATGGATGTGTGCCGGCGCCTGCTGTACCGAATCATGTGTGAAGATTCTCAATCCGGTTTGGAGCTGGTGTGCCATTGTGTCACGCCATTGGCGGGCGTGAACGCCGAAGAGGCTGTGTGCGGGACAGGGTGGCCGCAACGAAGTCTGGGTGTTTTCAATGATACAACGCAAAGGGGCATTTTTGGTTTTGAATCGAACATCGGGTTGTCAGGCTCATAATTTTTTGAATCTGGCAGCTCGAGAGCAGCGTGGCCTCGTTGACAGTGGCAATGTCGGATTGGTCTGGTGAGCCTTCGAGAACGGAGGCTTGACGCGAGGGGGTTTGGCGTCGAATGGTTACTGGGGTGGCAGCTGAGACCGGTAGGTCGGATGAACAGACAACGGAATGGTAGCAGCTTGGACTGCGTCTATACGATGTGGAAAACGAGGTTTGTTTTGGTGAGGTGCGTAGTGTGCGTTTCTGAAAGGGCCGGGAGGGGGGTCAATTAGAGCGTTGGCTGCGCAGTGGGATTCTGCACAAGGGTCGAGGCAGAAGGGGATGAAGGACTTCCCCTGTGTCGAGGAAGCGTTTGAATCTCACATGAACATCGACGCCGCAATGCTCGAAAAGGCCCCCACTGGCCAGCCACAGCACCGAGGGTGGTTATAGGGCTTGCTGCGAGGGATACGCGACAAGAAACCACGTGTGACGGAGAGAAATACGCAACAGAGAGATGCGATGTAGCAAAATGGCTGGCAGAGAATGAGGTGGTGAATGGGAACGTGACAAGAGATGCACGGCCGTAGCATATAAACAAGAGGTTTGGGCATGAGTGATACAGTTGGCAACGTTGGATTATTCGTTTTGATATTTTATATGCGGTGCATCTGAACTGAGTATTTTGAGTGTTTGGATGAGCGCTCTGGCTGTTCTCATGGCGGATTGATCATACGAGTCCATTTCTGGTAGCATTTGTGTGAATTTTTTATTATTCTTGCCGAGGCAGCTGTGGTTCCGGTTGAAGTTTGTATGATTGTATGTCTTTCTGGCACGTGTGTAGTTTCTGTTACTTCTAAGCTCTATTTAGCAATTAGAACATGGGGAATCAGCGCCACATGTCTTACGGTACTGTTGCAGATTCGATATTGTTACTTCTTTTCTTTTCTTTTTTTTATGTGGCAGGCGATAATTCTTATTTTTTCGATTTTTTATACGCTACTTTCGCGAAAGTTGTTCTGTAGCTTAACAATTTTCCACCATACTTTCTCTGATTGGTTTTGCGTGGTCTTGGACTGGGGAAGTTACTTATTCTATTGTGTGGTGAAATTTTATACTTATTGACCGAACTGTTTTGTGCTCACGCGATGGTCTTCAATCTTTAAATTTCTGTGGACTTGTCTTAAATTCTTGCATGTTTGTTTTTCGGCTTTTTGTACGTCGACTACATCATTTAGTCCAATCAATTCCGGTTTATTTTCGAGTATATTCTGGTCTAAAATTGTATTTCATGTTTATACCACTATCGAAGTGGATTTGATGTTTCAAGAATTTCAGGAATGAAATTAGTTTTTTTTCCTACAGATGATTGAGATGTCAGTTAGATTAAAATAAATATGCTTTTTTTTTCTGTGCACATTTGATGTTATTTTGGAATCGAATTAGTAGTACAATGTCAACGATTATTTTATTATAGGGGAAAGTAAGGATTTCGATACGTAGTATTGAATGTTTGGAAGGATGAATTGTAATTTTGTGATATTTGTGAGGAAAGATAATATTGTTAATAATAGAGTTCATTTTCAAGCTTAAAAAGTAAATCTTGAGCTCATTATAATTTTTACTCACTTTTTGTATTTCTAAAATTACAAATTGAGGATATATGATTCACTTTTTGGTTTTTTGGTCTCAATCATGAGTAATTGAAACTTGAACTTGGCTGAGTTTTTTTTTATGTATTCCAGCGAAATACAAGTACAATGTTTGCACTTGAGTTTTTCATCGATTCTAGTGAGATATAAGTACAATTTAATTCATCTTATGCTCATTTCTATTTGAAAGGTTGTATGTGTTACACGACATTTATGGCGAAATGTGACTTCATATTGTTGCAATATTGCAGCAGTAGAAATGGTGAAATGTGTTGGACTTACGTTATGCTCATCATACACCCCAACAGTCCGGTTTTCTCCTTCGTTCATCCAAATGTGCGATATTTCTGATACCCTTTATCCGAGTGCTACACTAACACGTGAAGCTGGCCAAAAACTCTGCCCACGATAATACATTCTAGCACACTCGCAAGCCTAAGCTGTGCAAGCTTGTGTTGTTGCACTTCTGCACCTTTGAAGCAAGAGCTGCAGTTAATTAGCAGTTCAATACGAGAGTAAAAATAAGAAAGATGAAGTGCTTAAAGGCGTCACATTTTTTAGTAACCTTTAGCAAGTCTGCGTAACCAACATGCACGTGTCATACACTAAAGTTTTGAAAGCTGACGGAGAAGTGAAGAGGTCATTCCACCAGTTAGAGCCCTGCGTCGTTTTCTAGACAATGTCTTCGCAACGTCTGATTGAAAAACTGGACGTGGTCAAAACTTTCTAAAAAAAATAAGAGAGATTGATGATCATAGAGGGAAGTTGAGAACACGGTTTCATGAAAAATGATACCCACTGAATACAGATATGTTCTCAGGCAACATGTTAGATTCCTCAATTGAGTCTTGTATTTCCGAGACACCTTTGACAGAGCAGGTAAATCTTAAGACGTGATGTTGGACTTGACCTACTACAGAGGCTCCTACACTAAGTGAATCATTCTTGTACTAGATATCTGATGAAGAGAGGATTGTGGAGCGTATCAATCACCACTATTTTTGGTTAACTCCATGTAGCGTCTGTTAACTTTCACCAGCTCTTGCAAATCTTCTACGTCCACTACCAGTTCCTTGAGCGCATTTTCAACTTTACTGAGCATACGCTCGCTTTCAAGTTGCAACCATTCTTGACCCTCTCTTGTTTTTAACAAAGCTTCATAGGAACCAGAACCCAAACAAGGAGAAGGTTGTGCATGCCACCGCCGACCATTCATTGTCACCTCATTCAGCCTGCGAATGATCAACATGAGGGCAGGCCAACATCGTAATAAAGGAGCACGTTCTAAGCTTCCGACCAATGCCATCAAAACAGACATTAATGATATTACCGTAGAAACCATTCAGATTGCTATTCATCAATGGATACGATCTCACCTGGCCAGGATCCTTGACATGTTTTCCAACTCCGTTGATTGAAAGTAGACATCTACTGAAAAATCACAGCGAGCAACCACTTCCGAAACCCGCCCAAAAAGTTCGCATGTTGCTCCAATCTGGTCGAGATTCGCTTCGACACCCACATTGCTCAATCGCACCACTGAGGTATTCACAGGGTTGACCCTAAAAATAGGATACTGTGATCCGTTTAGTTGCACTGACTTTGCCGAGAGTGCGTCATCTCGTGAATCGACAGCCTGTAATGCGACACATCAAATTGAGGTGGATACATGGGTCAATCATTAACAATCGAAGTTGCCAAACCAAATTATTATTTATCTCATGTTCAGAGGGAAAAACTTAGATAACGCTCCAGAATTACCTTGAACTCCAAGTTAGCAGAGTAAGTTCCTATGTTTTCCTGTTTCATATCCGATAAAACAATTTCACCATACTTGGACAAGGCACTTTGAACTTCGGATAACGGAACGTTCATAGGGATCCCCATAACCGCAACTTTGTAACCGCTCCCTCTGATCGCTTTCACATTTGGTGCATCCACATATGTACCAGTTACTTTTTCTGTCCCTTGAGATGTGGTGGATTCTACACCGCCAGCGCTAGAATTTTGACTATCATCCCAAGACTTGTTCGAGAGGTGGTGCGGGGTAGTTGTACTGGGCTCAGTTGTTACTCGAGACCCTCTAATATAAACTCTGGTTTTCGCTAGTGCTTTCTGCAAAGCTTCGGCTGTCTGCGTAATAAACCAAGCATAAGACAATGTTTAGAGAAAAAATTCAGTTAACTTCAAGTATAAAGCGGAAGAGCCGGTAACAAGTGCAATGTCTAGAAAGATGGTAATTCGTCATCCAATCGAGTAATAGTCGTACTTCCCCAGAAAAAAGATGAATGCCACCTTTTGTATAGAAAATTTCGACACTCTTTCAACCTCCATAACAACAGATGACCTAATGACCAAAGAAGATAAGCACAAACCTTGAAGTCAACAAACCCATATGTATACTTGACATTAGGTCGAGCTCTAATAGCATAAGCTCTAACTATATCCCCGCAGTCAGCAAAAGCTTCCCTTAAATCTTTCGGAGTAGCACGACATGACAAGTACCGTACGAAGATACCATGCCTTTCGTCCGAACTTGTTCCTGAAGCATCCTCCATACGACCTCCACTATAAGTGCCATTCCTAGGCCCATTTTCTGCAGCACTAGAGTAACCAAGGGCTTGCCGTCCTGGTACCCTTCCATTCTCCTTGTTAGAATCACTCTCTGAAAAGTCTTGCCCAGGCAAATATGAGCCAGCCATACCAGAAGGACGAAATCTTCTAGATGTTCCCTGTACCTCAGATGAGTCATATCTAGTAAGTTGCTGTAGTGAATTAGAGATTCCCATCCCACGAAGTCGTAAAGACAATCGATTGTGAGTCTCTGATCCAACTTGACTTGAACCGGTTGTTCCATCGTAACTAGATGTCACAGTTTTCCTCTCGATGTCCTCGTTCTCGTTACCTCTAACCCCAGAAGACTCACACTCTTCAAATTCATCCTCCGCATCTTCGTCCTCACCTTCGCTTTCTGCATCTTCATCTCCTACGATTTTGATTTCTCCTGCTTTTTCTTCTTCTTCTTCTTCGTCTTCCTCATGTAAACCTAAATGATTGTACATTCCAGCTTCTTCTCTTTCTTCATCAATAATTTCACTGGACGATTCCTCTTTCTCTTCTTCTTCAATGCTTACGTTGCTCGCGAAATCCTGTGCAGATATTGGCTGCGTGTAGCGGCTCTCTAAACCACTAAGGATGTCTTTTACCACATTCCTGGCCCCACCAGTGTTCTTGAGCACAGTAGTAACGTTTGGAAGTGCTCCCTGATGAGCCTCCATGTATCTGTGAAACACAGCTAATAACACTATCAACTCTCAAATAATTACACCACCATCGATATATCACCGTATATAAGCAACAGCGTCTCCAGGTGAGATGAATGGAAGGGTATAGCACAAACTTAAGCACATCCTAGCCTTCTCCCACTAATCCAATAATCGGGCGTCAGTGCAGCTCC